GACACATCAATCTGTGATCAGTAGAGACCCTAGACCATTAGCCGCTGTTACTTCCTCATAATTCCCAGAGTAACTGACTCCCCTGATTTCCCGACACCAGGAGGATCAAATATTGATAACACTCTCACCTTCACTTGAAAAACTGCAACACCTCGGAGGCTCGACCGTCCTCCCCAACCCTCTTCCTTACACTTCACGCTGTGGGAGCTGTTTTATCCGCAGCAACTGGTAATATATATATATATATATATATATATATATATATATATATATATATATATATATATATATATATATTAGTATATTTTGGTAGCAGTCTTTCCTGTAGACATATATTATTAAATATGACCGAAAAAGTAAGATTAATAATTCTAACACGAATTTTCTCAATCTTTCGTACATTTCTTTTCACTGTTGGGATAATTCATATATATATATATATATATATATATATATATATATATATATATATATATATATATATATATATATATATATATATATATATATATATATTACATTATGCATTTAGGATCATCTACATTTGTGCAGCTATCCTAGATTATATGAAGGGGAATACAACGTGTCCAAAAACTCGCTACGTGATGCTAAAAATCCCCATCACGCAGGATTGTTAGTCATACAGAGGCATGTGATCAGTAGCCTGTACTGGCAAACTCTCAGTACATTATGAGGATATCATATGAACACAAGAGAGAATAAAGTAATTGCAAAGCTCCAGGTACCTCATGCCAACGGGTCTGAATGGTCTGATAACTGGGCATTCGGTGATGTAGTGTGCAAGCAAGTGCCCCAGTTCCTGCTCACAGAGTTTGCACCTGGAGTGCTCAGGATTGGGAGATCCGTCACCTGTAGCCACCTGCCACAGGTAACGGTAACCCAACCTGATCCTGGCAACCACTGTGTCGCACAGTCTGGTCGACGTTTTGTGCTGCACATATATATATATATAGGTTTCAGATCTGAACACACCATAGATTTTTATGCTGGTACTTTCAGGTCGTTGGGAGTCAGTAATTTCTCTCCTATCAGACCTGAGTGTTTGGTACAATAGTTTACGATCAGCAATAAACGAAAAGATTCGGCTTCACCTTACTATTTTTTATCATTAAATTTCAATTCAGTATTGTGCTATTTCATTAACTTTCCTGTCATCAATGTGGACCGAAAGGAGGAAAAGTCGGGAGACAGTGATCTGCTTTGCTGTTTCATTTAGCGCAAAGCACCCATTGGCTCGTAGCTAAATGCAGTTTCGTTTTTTTTACTAAACGGAAGAAATTCTGGGCGCCATGTCCCAGTAAATCTTCTATTATCCGCCACCAAAAAAACTTGTACGCGCGTGGTTTAATAAAGAGCCCGCCGCAGTGGCTGAGAATTTATGTAAATAAATGATACCCCCCAATAGTTCGAGGCTCACGAAAATCATAGTTTTCCCCATTAATTTCCCTTTTCCCAGACCTGGTGATAAGTGGTGACTGAAGAGCGGAGTATTGCTGCTCTCACCCTCTCCTGTGCAGGATCTTGCCTGCACCACCACCTCCCACCTCAATGCATCCCGTGACACCTCCCACAACAACAGTTGGTTGTATCACCCCACTACAACAGTTGCCTGTATCACCTCCCACTACAACAGTTGCCTGTATCACCCCACAGTATTATCTCTACTCTCAAAACTTCCCAACAGTACCTTTACATTCAACATGTTCCAGCACACATTCCCCAAACACCACCCACAAAGTACCTTTCCCTACAACACCCCCCCCAACCACGCCTCCCTCACCCCCCCCAACCACGCCTCCCTCACCCCCCCCAACCACGCCTCCCTCACCCCCCCCCCAACAACACCTCACCCCCCGGCAATGCCTCCTGTCCTCCTGACCTTCCATGAGCCACATATGTTTGCAACATCGTCAATGCAATATGTCCAACTGTTCACAGTAGTCATCAACAGGCAAAACAGTTTAGAGCAATAAACACAGAATCCAAGTGAATTCTGCCGGATTATTGGTCATGTCTAACTAAGCCTGTTAGGTAGGGAATTGGCGTACTCGGCTCCATCAATATTTATGTCATGTAGTGTTCGTATTAATACTCTCCCCTTCATGTGGGACAACAGCCTTTATGTGAGCGGGAGAGAGAGGCACATATATACAACTGTGTGTATATGTGAGCGGGAGAGGGTCACATATACAACTGTGTGTATATGTAAGCGAGAGAGGGACGTAACGAGAGAGAAGAAAGCCATGGAGGCAGAAGCAAGGAAGAGACGCAGAGTAAGAGGAGAAAACCAGGAAATCACAACCGACATCACAACATCCCCAGAGGGTGGGAGGGGGGGAACCCACAATCAGCAACCCAGTAACACCAGAGGGGAGGGCAACACCATCACCCTCCTCTGCATAGAGCCCCCCCCCTTACCCCAAACCCTGCTACCCCTCCCAGATTCCCACCATGTCCCCCTCCCCCGCCTTTTCCTCCCTGTCCCCCCTTCATCCTATACCCTCCCTGTCCCCCCTCTTCCCTTGACCCCCCCCCACTCCTCACACCAGTATCTTCTGAGACCCTGTTAACTACCTCACAAATCCTCACATCTATGGAACAGCTTCCCCCATCAGCAGGACGCTCACCAAGAAAGGGACATGAGAACGAACAGAAGAAAGTGAGTCTCAAAACAATGTACACTAACATAGATGGGATTTCAAATTAAACAAATGAACTTGGAGAATGGGAACTAGAAGAAAACCCAGACATAATAGCACTCACAGAAACAAAGCTAACGAAAACCATAACAAATGCAGTGTTTCCACAGGACTACTATGTTGTGAGGAAAGAGAATGAAGGGGAGGAGGTGGTGTTGCTCTTCTGATAAGAAAAGGCTGGAGTTTTGAGGAAATGGTTATTCAGGGCTGTGAAGGGTTCAGTGACTACATAACAGGTACCATAGAAATTGAAGGACTAAAACTTATAGTTGTAGTCATATGTAACCCACCACCAAATGACAGAAGACCCAGACAGGAATATGATAGAAACAACATGGCCACCATTAACATAATAGAGAGAGCAGCTTCTGTCGCTAGCAGGAATGGATCTGGACTAGTAATCATGAGAGACTTTATCCATGGGATAATTGACAGTTGAGAGGCGGGACCAAAGAGCCAGAGTATTAATTGGAGTTTAGTTGTGGTTGTAGCTCTCTTGTAGTGGGGAGGAATGCAGAACAAAACAGCTAAGGGCCTTTTCTGTGTTTTATTATAAAAGTTATAAATATTCTTTGCTGGGCCACGAACTAGCTATATAGTGTGTGCTGCGCCACTGCTCAAGATCGTCTGCCTGTAAGAGTGTCGTTACTCTTGGACGAAGATGTTTAACGATTCTTCGCGGCAGGGGATCGTATTCCAGGGACCATAGGATTAAAAAAAAAAAAAAAAAAAAAAAAGATGCACATCTGCGTGCAGTGTTGACGCAGCTGTTGACAACTGCTGCTGAGGTGAGTGCTGGCAATATGCAGTCGATGAATGAGGTCATCACCACATAAATAATAATAAATAAATAAATGTTTATTTAGGTAAGGTACATACATACAAGAGATTTTACAAAGATTGATGGATTAATAGATAGAGCTAGTACATACAATGCCTAAAGCCACTATTACGCAAAGCGTTTCGGGCAGGAAAAACTTAAATGACTAAAGCTTAATACTAATTGGGTATAAAGAATAAAATGTGTTGAGAACAAATAAAAATAGAGATAAAAGAGGGGGGAACATGGCTGAAATGTGTGACCACATGCGTCCAACAACAGCTCAACCCCCCGAAACACAATTAGGTAAGTAGAACTAGGTGAGTACACACATACACACACACACACACACACACACACACAAATTATGTGGAAAAGACTTAAAGAAGTAACAAAGAATGTGACATAGGATTGGTTCTTGACAGTAGACTATGACCAGAGGAACACATAAAGATCATTGTGCGAGTAGCATCACTTTCCAACATCAGACTTACTTTCAATTTACATTGATGGAGAAATACTAAAGAAACTGTTCATAACTTTTGTGAGACCAAAATTTTAATATGAAGCAGGTGTATGGTGCCTAAATCTCAAGAAACACTTCAATAAACTGGAAAAGGTGCTAAGGCATGGTACAAAATGGCTTCCCAAACTGAAAAACAATTGTTACGAGGAGAGACTAAAGGCGTTAAATATACCAAAACTAGAAGATAGAAGAAAAAGAGGTGATATGATCACCACTCACAAAATAATAACAGAAATCGACCAAATTGACAAAGAGGAATTCTTGAAACCGACAACCTCAAAGACAAGAGGTGATACACTCAAGCTATGGAAACAGAAGTGCCGAAAAAAGATTAGAAAGTTTTCTTTTCCTTTCAAGCATACACTCGCCGGTGTAGTGACGGGGAATACACTGAGCTGCGTGAGTATACACTTCGTGGTGTATACTGACCACGAGGTACACACTGAATGGTGTGTACCTCGCCAGTGTGGTGGCGGGGAACTCAGTCCACTGTCCAGTAACCTGACTGACGTAGGTGTCTGAACTCTCTTACTACACTGTAATACATCATCCTCTCAGTTAGTGGGTTGTAGTATTAATTAAATCGACCAATCCGTTAAAAATGTGACCCATTAGTAAAAATAACAGCACCCAAACATCGACGTTTTCTCAGCATCAGTCTCCATAGGTTAAGGGGATGGCTTGGGCGTGTACATTTCTGGTTAGGCAAAACAAACGCCTTTTTAATGGAGTGACAACTTGCAGGAACAGCCTGGGGAGCGTGTGAGCGCGCTCTTGCACTGCTTAAATGGCCTGACAGAGGCCGTGATACAACACCTGTCCTTCCATACTCGTCCACATTATAAAGACCAAATAAACAACAGTTGTCAAGGCTTTCTTACTTCTCAAGTAAAGGTATAATGTTGTAAACAAAACACAGCTTGTTTTGACTCACCTGAGGTCTGGGTGAAGGTTGTCCAGGTACCAGGAGGCCTCCCTTGTTAGCTCCTTAGTGGGTACCTCCTCCGTTGTTACCTCCTTCGTTGTTACCTCCTCCTTGCTTAGCTCTGTGAGATGCTGTTGTGGGGACCTCGACTCCCCCTTTGTGAGGTCTTCTTGTAGACCATGGCGCTGTGGTGACTGTTGCTGTCCATCAGTGTGTTGTGGTTCAGAGTGTATTATTCGTGAAGGAAGACCCGGGCGCCCATTGGATAGTGGTGGTGGCGGCTGCGGAGGTTGGGATACGAGTGGTGGTGGAAGACACAGGAGGTGGAGGAGCAGTGGAGGAGTAGTGTGGTCAGTCTCCAGCCTCACCACCCGGGTGGATGGGGCTCCACAACACAAAACTGCGGAGAGAGAAAGTTGATTGTTATTTTCAGGTTGAAACTTGTCTCCGCAAATAAACACACACACACACACACACACACACACACACACACACACACACACACACACAATTCTATTTGTGAATTCTAATTTTATTTCTAGTATATGTTAACGACATGTTTACAGGAGTAGAGTCCTACATGTTGATGTTCGCAGGAAAGTTGATGAGAAGAGTTGTGACAGATGAGGATTGCAGGATCCTCCAAGAGGACCTGAACAGGTTGCAGAGATGGTCAGACAAATGGCTACTGGAGTTCAACACGAGCGAATGTAAAGTTATGGAAATGGGACTAGGTGATAGGAGACCAAAGGGACAGTACACAATGAAGGGGAACAGCCTACCTGTGACGACGCGCGAAAGAGACCTGGGCGTGGCCGTATCACTTAATCTATCTCCTGAAGCACATATAAATAGGATAACGACAGCAGCGTACTCTACACTGGCAAAAGTTAGAACATCATTTAGAAACCTAAGTATGGAGGTATTTAGGGCGCTTTACACTACCTACGTGAGGCCAGTCTTGGAGTATGCCGCCTCATCATGGAGTCCCCATCTGAAGAAGCACATTAGGAAACTGGAAAAGGTTCAGAAGTTTGCAACGCGACTCGTCCCAGTGTTACGAGGTATGGGGTATAAGGAGCGCCTGAAGGAACTGTGCCTTACGACACTAGAAAAAAAGAAGAGAGAGGGGGGATAGGGGGAACGTATAAAATACTCAGGGGGATTGACAGAGTGGACATAGACGAAATGTTCACACGGAATAGTAACAGAACGAAGGGACATGGGTGGACGCTTGAAACTCAGATGAGTCACAGAGATGTTAGGAAGTTTTTTTTTTATTGTGATAGTGAATAATTACTGCAAGTATTGAATGGACAGAGCTCTAGACTCGTGAATCTAGGGACCAGGGTTCGATCCCCACGCACCGCCGGAAAAAAAAAAATGGGCAGAGTTTCCTTCACCCTGATGCTACTGTTACCTAGCAGTAACTAGGTACCTGGGAGTTAGACAGCTGCTACGGGCTGTATCCTGGTGTGAGTGTGTGTACTCACCTATTTGTGCTTGCGGGGGATGAGCTTTGGCTCTTTGGTCCCGCAAAGTGTGTGTGTGTGTGTGTGTGTGTGTGTGTGTGTGTGTGTGTGTGTGTGTGTGTGTGTGTGTGTGTGTGTGTGAAAAAAATTACTTAGTAGTTAGTAACAGTTGATTGATTGATAGTTGAGAGGCAGGCCGAAAGAGCTCAACCCCCGCAAGCACAACTAGGTGAACACAATAGGATGACAATGTTTGAACACCATTAAGACGCGCCGGAAACCTTGCTTAGGGCGGCCTGAAACGTGTGAGACCTGATCTAAGCTAATTAGCATCACTGCCCTTCATTAGCTCACTCTTCCGGAAGATATTAACTTAACTAATTACTTTCGAATGAATGCCTAATTGACCTGTGTTATGTGCTACTTATCCATGATGGATATCCTCATATAAGATAACCTCTTGCATAGTGTTAAAAAATATATATATATATATATATATATATATATATATATATATATATATATATATATATATATATATATATATATATATATATATATATATATATATATATATATATATATATATATATATATTTATTTTGCATACTCAGATCGTGCTTATTTGTTTTTGGGTGAAGTGATAGGAAACCAATCAATGGGTAAAGACAAAACACGAAACAATGGGTATATATATAACCATGGGTATACATTTATCTTCTTGCCTCTGTGCTGGTTCGGTGTTTTGAAGTGGGTAGAATGTAATTATGTGATAATTGGCTGTTGATTTCTGGTTTTTGATGAGTAGTGCCTCGCTGATGTCGAGTCTACTTTTCTAGGCGATGTATCTGTCGATAATTTCTGTGTTGCTTGTTAAGATTTCTCTGGTGATGGTCTGGTTGTGAGAGGAGATTATATGCTCCTTGACGGAGCCCTGTTGTTTGTGCATTGTTAATCGCCAAGAAAGAGACGTTGTTGTCAAGACAATAACGTCTCTTTCTACGCGATTGCCTCCCGTGTCTGTGAGGTGATGGTAGGTCGTATATCGCGGTGATGTGATGCAGAAGATGTACAGTGACCACAAAAGAGCAGTTGAAACATCAGGATCTGCAGGGCTGGTACAAGAATTCAACCAACTACGAACCATTTGGAAGCAAAAGAAGTACACTTACATCACATCAGGCTTGGATACCCATGTGCATGGGAAATTGGCTTACAAGTTCCGGAAGATGAGAGGAAATGTCAGCACTGTGGAGAAATGCCCGACAGACCACTGGAACATTATCTAACACAGTGCACCGTTACAAACCCATTAAGATTTCAACTTAGATTCAACAGAGCAGAAGTTGTTGTTAAACACGTGGGACAAAATCTTACTGAAGCGACCATACGAGTCATAAATACTCACACTCCGCCTAAGTCAGAAACAACACTTAGTGAGCCAGCCAGTGGCTTAGGGCCCGCGCAGGAATATCCCTGCTACAAAAAAAGGAAAGTGTCCAACACTTGGTGTCCAACAGCAAACTGTCCAACAGCGAGGTGTCCAACAGCGAGGTGTCCAACAGGGAGGTGTCCAACAGCAAGATGTCCAACAGGGAGGTGTCCAACAGCAAGGTGTCCAACAGCGAGGTGTCCAACAGCAAGGTGTCCAACAGCAAGGTGTTCAACAGCAAGGTGTTCAACAGGGAGGTGTCCAACAGCAAGGTGTCCAACAGCGAGGTGTCCAACAGCGAGGTGTCCAACAGCGAGGTGTCCAATAGGGAGGTGTCCAACAGCGAGGTGTCCAACAGCGAGGTGTCCAACAGCGAGGTGTCCAACAGGGAGGTGTCCAACAGGGAGGTGTCCAACAGCAAACTGTCCAACAGCGAGGTGTCCAACAGGGAGGTGTCCAACAGCAAGGTGTCCAACAGCAAGGTGTTCAACAGCAAGGTGTCCAACAGCAAGGTGTCCAACAGCAAGGTGTCCAACAGCAAGGTGTCCAACAGCAATGTGTCCAACAGCAAGGTGTCCAACAGGGAGGTGTCCAACAGCAAGGTGTCCAACAGGGAGGTGTCCAACAGCAAAGTGTCCAACAGCAAGGTGTCCAACAGCGAGGTGTCCAACAGCGAGGTGTTCAACAGCAAGGTGTCCAACAGCAAGGTGTCCAACAGCAAGGTGTCCAACAGCAAGGTGTCCAACAGCAAGGTGTCCAACAGGGAGGTGTCCAACAGCAAGGTGTCCAACAGCAAGGTGTCCAACAGGGAGGTGTCCAACAGCAAAGTGTCAAACAGCAAGGTGTCCAACAGGGAGGTGTCCAACAGGGAGGTGTCCAACAGCGAGGTGTCCAACAGCAAGGTGTTCAACAGCAAGGTGTCCAACAGCAAGGTGTCCAACAGCAAGGTGTCCAACAGCAAGGTGTCCAACAGCAAGGTGTCCAACAGGGAGGTGTCCAACAGCAAGGTGTCCAACAGCAAGGTGTCCAACAGCAAGGTGTCCAACAGCGAGGTGTCCAACAGCGAGGTGTTCAACAGCAAGGTGTCCAACAGCAAGGTGTCCAACAGCAAGGTGTCCAACAGCAAGGTGTCCAACAGGGAGGTGTCCAACAGCAAGGTGTCCAACAGCAAGGTGTCCAACAGGGAGGTGTCCAACAGCAAAGTGTCAAACAGCAAGGTGTCCAACAGGGAGGTGTCCAACAGGGAGGTGTCCAACAGCGAGGTGTCCAACAGCGAGGTGTCCAACAGCAAGGTGTTCAACAGGGAGGTGTCCAACAGCGAGGTGTCCAACAGCGAGTTGTCCAACAGGGAGGTGTCCAACAGGGAGGTGTCCAACAGGGAGGTGTCCAACAGCGAGGTGTCCAACAGGAAGGTGTCCAACAGCGAGGTGTCCAACAGCAAAGTGTTCAACAGGGAGGTGTCCAACAGGAAGGTGTCCAACAGCGAGGTGTCCAACAGGAAGGTGTCCAACAGGGAGGTGTCCAACAGCGAGGTGTCCAACAGCGAGGTGTCCAACAGCGAGGTGTCCAACAGCGGTCTGTCCGCATAATTAATCTCAAGTGATCAAAGGAGACTGTCAACACTAACGACTCCCAGTGCTCATCACTCCCCCCCCCTCCCAGTGCTCATCACTCCCCCCTCCCAGTGCTCATCACTCCCCCCCCTCCCAGTGCTCATCACTCCCCCCTCCCAGTGCTCATCACTCCCCCCCCTCCCAGTGCTCATCACTCCCCCCCTCCCAGTGCTCATCACTACCCCCCTCCCAGTGCTCATCACTCCCCCCCCTCCCAGTGCTCATCACTCCCCCCCCTCCCAGTGCTCACACACTCCCCCCCCTCCCAGTGCTCATCACTCCCCCCTCCCAGTGCTCATCACTCCCCCCCTCCCAGTGCTCATCACTCCCCCCCCTCCCAGTGCTCATCACTCCCCCCCCTCCCAGTGCTCATCACTCCCCCCCCTCCCAGTGCTCATCACTCCCCCCTCCCAGTGCTCATCACTACCCCCCCCCACTCCCACTCAACAACTATCAACTAATTAACGGAGACTATTTGGAACTTGTTGCATGATTATATCTGCCAGAGATAACAACATAAGATTAAAGTGAACCATAGATGGCCTACGTATTCACCCAAACTCACATATATGTCTAACCTACGCTTGAAACACTCCAGTGATCCCTAGTCTATTGCGATACCCGGCAATTTGTTCCATACTACAACAACCATGTTTCCCAGCCAGTATTCACCCAGGTCTTTCCTGAAGAAGGAGAACACACTGTCTTGTGCGGTAGGACCAGAGTGGTGTGAGCATCACTGGTCGTCTTGAGACACATGTGAGGAAGTGGGAAGTAGCAGTGAGACAGTGACAGAAATGACGTCACAGTGAAGTAGCAAGTATGAAAGTAACAGTGATTATTAACACAGTAACTGACGGAGACAAGGTACAGTGAACAAGTATCAGTAAAAGTACAGTGAAGCTATACTGAAGATGGGCGTGGATGGTCTGGCAATCATCGTACTCATCAGAAGGCCAGACAGTCCTGAGTTCGAGTCCCTCCTACAGAGGTAATGTTAGATTCTAGTTCAGTTTAAAAGTCAATATCCGGCATACAGCATTATCCCTTACGGCTTCAAATAGGATCAAGCTGCCTTAAGACACATATTCTCGTTTAAATTCAAACTTTACTGTAGACGAATTTAATCCAAACACAGCCCGCAAGATCCTGGAAGGTTGTACACGCAATATTCCTTCCCAAGTCGACTCATCCCTTCAGTAGTGACCACCAGATTGTCGCTATCTCCCTCCTGTATTCCCACCTCTCTCTCCCCTGCCCTCCCTCCAAGCTCTCAGTAATGCCAAGCCCCCAAATCCCCTCGCTGACAAAGCTGACACCACCTTCTTAAGGCCCAGTCAGATCGCAATTCTTCTTTTCCTAGACTGAACATATCCCGCTTTCTTCCCTCGCGGGAATGAAGAATTGGGTGCCTCTCCCAATTTTCCTTACCCATTTCTCCCATTAATGCTCAGTTCCTTTCATTCCTCTTCCTTCCTATGTCATATATTGTCAAATCCGAGATCCTCGCTCTCCCATTTCTTAAGGTACAGCAGGCAGGATTGGAGTGTGGACAAAGGCTGTCCCGTCCCTTCTAACCTACCATCAGTTGGTATTTACCAAGACGCAGGCGGCGTCTCCAAGGGTGGCCGGGTCCTGGAGGCCCTTGAACTGTCACTCCCTGATGGTGATGGGAAGACACTCGCACTCTCAAGCCCGAGTCGCCTTCTGTTGTGTATCCTCGGTGGCTCAATAAGGAGGTCGAAGACGGTATGAAAGGAGGAGGAACAGGGGTAGAGGGAGGGAGGGAGGGAGAGGGAGGGAGAGGGAGAGGGAGAGGGAGAGAGAGAGAGAGAGAGAGAGAGAGAGAGAGAGAGAGAGAGAGAGAGAGAGAGAGAGAGAGAGAGAGAGAGATAGAGACAGGTAGAGCGAGAGAGAGAGAGAAAGATATATATAGAGATAGATAGAAAGACAGATAGAGCGAGAGAGAGAGATATAGAGAGATATAGAGAGATATAGAGAGAGGTTCTACCAGGCAGAGTAGTCAACAGCTCCTCCGCAACAATCACTGTCCAAACAGCCAGAACCTTCGCCACCTTAACCGTACAAAGTACACACGCCGGCTATCATTTGACTATGGATAGTCGGCATGTGTACTTTGCAGGGTGGGGGAAGGTTGTGGTCTTAATTAGCCAGCATCCTCGCTCTTCTCGGCCGTCAGACAACAGAGCGCCAGGCCACTGACCACTCAAGGGCGAGGTCATGACATGATCAGGTCAGATCGTGACATGACAGGTCACCTGTTACTGGTAACAACACATCACCTGACAGAGGGAGGTAGTGACGAGGGAAATGACATCACAGCTCTGACGAGCACCAGCTTGTTCGCCCAGAAAATGCACTCAAATAAAGATAAAACACTAACATTAACCACATTAACACACAGTGATTATAGTATGAATGTGGTCTTAACACACGGTGATCATAGTATGAATGGTGGTCTTAACACACAGTGATCATAGTATGAATGTGGTCTTAACACACGGTGATCATAGTATGAATGGTGGTCTTAACACACAGTGATCATAGTATGAATGGTGGTCTTGGAGTCAGCATCCGGGAAAAGAGGGAATAAGAGCCATGCCCACCATTGCTTCACCATAAAAGCTGAGGAAGCACAAATGTTATCCTTGGTCCGTGTTAGCGACGCAAAGTTCCCGTCAAGTAAGACGCAAGAAGCAATTCGTTGCAATGCACGTCCGTCAGTGGCCAGTGCGTCTTGGGACATTAACTCCGCCACATCCTAAAACAATCCCTCTTCATTGTCAATGGAAATTGTCACTTGGAGTAAACCTGAATGGATTTATGGGTATGAGAGCCACAGAGGTGTTGTTGTTGTTGCTGTTATAGATTCAGCTACTCGGAACAAATTCCAAGTAGCACGGGCGATGGTGAGCCCGTAGTGGACATACCTGGCACAGGAGCAATGCTGTCTGCACAGAGGTGAAATGACCGGGAGTTTATAGGTAGACCAGGATGGATTATTTAACACGGGTGGTACACAGGTGGAAGCTAAGTACCCAAATGAGCCACAGAGACGTTAGAAAGGACTTTTTGAGTGTCAGAGTAGTTAACAGATGGAATGCAATAAAATCCACCAGTTCGGCCCAGTAAACTGATGGATTTTACTTAGACTTTGACTCATCACTAGACATTTTAAACCTACATATTTGAGGCCAGGAAGTTCACTGATTTATGAGGGAAAGTTCTACTCCTGGAGCCTTGCTTGGGATCATGACATAACAGGGGAGTACAGTAAGGTGAGAGACGTCCAGAGTGAAGGTCAGTGTGGGAGGCAACTGGAAGGGAAGATGACAAATGATATGAAGGAAGTTATTGCCCAGAGACGGACAGATGCGACGGAGCTGTCCATGCCACTCAAGGAGGTGGACAAGAAGACAAAGGCAGTGGCGTAACAGGCAGTGCACAGAAGCAGAAAAGAAACCCCCCCAAAAATCACGGGAAAGTACAGAACTAAGGGTAGAGAAAAATAGAGAGGCACTAAGGAGATTCAGAAATTTATTCACCACAGTGAAGAGGGAAGCTGAGACGAAGTTTGAAAATGAGATAACAGCAAAAGTTAAGGACCGACAAAACCTGATGTATAGCCATATATGGAAACAACAACAATAAGGGACCATGTGATCAGTCCCAGAGATATCCTGACAAACCACCAAAAATAGTCGACAAATATAGCAGTAATAGAAGACTGGAGAGCGGCGAGGCATTATGCATCAAGCCGAGCCAACTGTCAACACCCAACACCAAATTACTCTCTCCCATCGTCGAGAACACGACGAAACATCCAACATGCTGCCCCAGCTTTCATAGCAACATAAGGGTGCAATAAACCTATTGCAATAATAGGTGCAATATGTAATAATTAGTGATTCAAGTGCTACCAGTACACCCACTACACCAGGAGCAGCACCGAGCGAGAGCAGAGATGTAGCCTCTGCTCCCAGGAGCACCACTACACCGAATACACATCCTCCCACTGACGCTGCCGGCTCTACAATGACCACACTCTGTGGTATCACCTGATTGTCTCCTCCGGCAGGATAAAATCCAAAAGATGACCGCTACCGCTTCCTCCACCACTATACCTCGACCACCAAACCCACTAACGTCGGAATTCCCGGTCTTCCCTGGGAACACACATATGACTCCCTCACCACCGCCTGGCCTCTGGGGACGCCACACCCAGCCTACCACACCACCTCTGACCACACCACCACCAGCCCAGCCTGCAGCCTCCACGATCACCCTTTTACCCGTCCTTCACCTCACCCACAAAATAGCGAGCAACAACATTACCCACTACATCCACATCATCAACAGGCCGCTCGTCGCGAATAGACTTCCGACAGTTGCTGTACCCGATGACCGCCTTCCAAATTCCACAACTGATACTGGACCCTCCGCCCCAGGGAGCCTTCACCGTCCGGCCACAACGACTCCGTAGATCCCGAGTTTGTCCCACTGACAAGGACGGCAGCAATGTACAGCTGACCAGGACGACGAGGCCGACTTCGAAGACTCGATCGACTCCGATGCTTCAATGTCGCTTCCTCTCCCGAACCTCATGCGGCCGCCCTGGTACCATCTTCCCCCTCCAGATCCCGCATCGGCACCAACCAAACTAAGGATAGAGGGAAGGCTATGGCTGACAGGCTCCCATGCTGCCTCCTCCGGGTATATCTGATGTAGCTGCATACTATCCAATGAGGGCAGACAACATAACTCCATAATCCACAACGACTACTGGGAATACAAGTGCATGAAAGCAGGACGGATCCTTCACATATCGTCCCTCAAGAACTCTTCGTCCGCCTTTGCAACTATGACACCTTGAAGAATGAAATTCGACCAGAGTACCAACTGTGGAAAATTATCCACCACAAATATACCATGACATGTTCGAGTACATGGTTTAT